AGAGGGATGGAGAGAAGAGGCTGTTATTGAGTAGTCGCTGGCCTGATACCAAGGCAGAGTGGCACAGCCCCCTGGCCCGGGACGAAGGGAGGCCGGGCTGGAGCTGAGGGTTTGCGTTTGTTGGGAGGGGGTAAGGAGTTGGGGGGAGGACACTCCACAGCGATCTCTGAGCTTGGGAGACTCCAGCAAATTCTCTCCAGGACCCCACCCCACCCCCCAGCCGCTAGCAGTGGAGCTGGGACCACTGCAGGAGGACTTGGCCAGCTCTCCAGGAGAGACCATAAAATGCACCCTGTCCTGGGGTTGCAGTGTCTTTCTTATGCTAAATGGACAAGAGGCAGCCAGGGCAGACTTTAAACTCTTTTCCCTGGTGGTCCCAGGCTGGGTCTTGGCGCAAGGGCTGATGGGTGTTCAGAGGAGCAGGGGCAGGCGCAGGCTCCCTTTTGCTGGCCAGCAGTTTGGCTTATTCGCTTGTTTTGAGACCCATTTTTTTAAAAGTTGGACGAAAAGTGTTGACTTAGAAGGAGTGCCGAGTTCTTGTTACTCAGTCTGCCCTCACATGATCCTGTCAGTGCCAGGCTGTTCGAGGGCCAGCGATGCCCCGGGCCAGAGGCCCTCTACCCTGGCGCTGCCCTCGAGGGTCACGCTGCACCCACCCTGCAGGCCCCTGCCAGAGGACATCTGAAATGGTGCACTTGTTCCACTTTTACTGCCGCATTTTTCTTTTTAGAAAAAGAATTGCTACACTAGAATGAGTGGATTATGAGTAAGTAAAAAGAAACTGTCAGTCTCTTTGATGGTTGTGCTTAAAGGGACTTGGCAAGTCAGGACCGAGAGTGACAAGATAGAAACCCTGGCGTTTTGCATGCTCGCCTCGGCTCTTCCGCTTCATCTGCACCACTCTAAAGGATGTGTTGATGCATTGAATCACAGGGAAAAAGTGGCACACCACAATGACTGGAGTGTTTAGCTGTGAAATGCCACACTGCCCCAACCAGGGGAAACGCAGGTCCACACGGGCGAAGAAAACGGTACAGCACTTGCATAACTTATAATTAAGTTGAAGTCTGCCTAACATTTGACTTTCTAATGAGCGTAATGAGATTACATGCCTGATGGGAGCATTTGTGCAAAAGCAACTTTCGTGTTTAATGAGGCCCTAATACAGGACGAAATCGAATTATTTTCTCTCGCTCTCGAATTCTGTCTGCAGTGTGGAAACCCTCCGGGGGAGGGGCGAGCTGGAAGGGGCGGAGGGTCCGTGGCCCACGGCCTCCTGGGAGCCTCTGGCCCGGAATCTGCGTGTCTGGCCAGGCGGCACTGCGGGTCGGCTCCGGCCTCGATTTAGTTGCTCTTGGACGAGGTCTACGGCACCCGCGGCGCGCAGGGACCCCTCGGTGGGTCTGAAACTAGGTTGAAGCAATTAGCATGCTGCCAGCACATTGTCTTGCAGCAAGAGCGTGGGTATTGGGGTGATTCGCGAATGTACCCTGACCAGGCCGCCGCTGGGCCAGGGAGCCGCGCTCGCCCTAGCGGGACCCGCGCATCGCGGGGACAGCGGTGCCCAAGTGCGCCCGGGCCCCACCCAGGTGAGGGTGCCCGGGGCCTCTGGGACGCACCCGGGCCACGGAGAGACCTGCCCGGGCCCCTCTTCCGGGGCTGTGGGCCTAGCCTTGCTCTTCCCCCCTTCGCTAGGGGCCGAGCGGCGCCCTCCGCCCCTGGCTTGCCTTCTTCCGGGTGCCCGAGGAGGACGAGGTCCAGGTGGAGGAAACACGGAGAGAAACAGCCCAGTCGCGCCAGGTGGGGGAGCGGGCTGGTTCTGTCCTGACTTACCTTAAAAAACAATCCCGGATGGTGTTGGGGCCCCGCGCCGTGGTCTCCCAGCCTCCCGGGCTCTGCCCGGTTCCCCTGGAGCAGAGCCTCTGTGCCGTCCCTGCTGAAGGTGGGTGGGCCTCAGGGCAGCTCCTCCGCCCCTTCGCGCGCCAGCCCCGACTCCAACCGCGCCAGGCGCTCAGGTTTGCGCGCTGTTACGGCAGCCGGGTGGCCTTAGGCAGTAAACCAGACGCGGCCTGGGAGCCTCCGTTTTCCCCTCTGAAGATGGGAATGATAAATACTCCATGACCTATGTGACCCATGGCATGTCTGAAATTTAGGACAGGGGCCCGGGATGTAGCTCAGTGGCTCCACGCCTGCCTTGCAAACTCAAGGCCCTGAGTTCAATCCCCGGTACCAAAGCCGGTGGGGGGGGGGGGATTTAGGATGAAAATACCGGCAAGTTGTCACTATTCGGGGCAGGCGATGCAGATAAAGGTCCGTCACAGACTGAAGCTTAATCCGCAATCCCCCTTTCAGGCTAGTGAAATAAAACGCGGCTTCCCACCAAACAGTTACAGGCTGAGTTTCCGATTCATCTTATTTTTACCAACTTAATTACTTTAGAAGCTATACATACCCCATCGTGTACAAAACAAATCACTTTTAGAAAAAGGTGTAAATAGCATTTATTAACAACGCTGAGAAATAAATTATATAAATTATGTATTTAAAGAGAATCATCTATGTCATTAACTCAACAGAATAATAAATAGATAAATAACAAACACTTGATTGCCATTAGAAAACTCTGATTCTTAAGTTACGCTCCCGTCACAGGCATCCACGCGTGCCGTACGCAGTCACGGTTAGCCCTAGGCCGAGGCGGCCTCAGGACACGCACTCAAAGGGCGGCTCGTTTTCTATGTTGCTGAAAGAAGACTTGCTGTTGAGTTTCCTGGGGTCCTCTGGGGTCCACACTTTGGCCGTCCGGATGACGTTTTGTTCTTTGAGTTGCTTTTCGTCAGTCCACGAGAGAGAGTGGCCCGCGAGGGGAGGGAGGCCGTAATCCGGGTCGCTGGGGGAGGGGGAGCCTGGGGGAGGGAGTGGAAAACAGGCTGAACCTCAGCGCGCCGGCGCCTCTCCCGCTCGGGTCCCAGCCCCCTGACTGGGGTTACGCCTGCCTTCGCAGGGACTAGAAGGGCCCCGCGATCCCCCTTTCGGCCTCCAGGGTCCCCTCCCCAGAGTCCCAGGAGCGGCAGGGCTGGTGGGGCGGGGCCGCGTACCCTCGTCTGGGCGCCGCCACAGCCACAGCGTTAAACACCAACGCGGGGAAGCCAGCCCGCGCTGGAGGCCGCCCTCCGCCCGCGGATCCGTCGCGCCTGTCTGTCTGTCCCTCACCCCTGGCGCCCCCCCCCCCAGCCGAGGACCGAGCGCACTCACGCGTGCCCCGGTGGCAGATGAGGACCTTCTGGGCCTGGCCGGCCGGGCTGTCCCCGCCCAGGCGCCCCCCGCCGTCCGCGCCGCCGCCGCGCAGGGGCAGGTCCGCCTGCACCAGCTCGCTGAGGAAGTTGATGTAGCCGATGGCCAGGCGCAGTGTGTCCACCTTGGACAGGCGCTTCTCGTAGGGCAGCGTGGGGATGTGCGAGCGCAGCCCCTCGAAGGCGTCGTTGATGGACTGCATGCGCCGCCGCTCGCGCACGTTGGCCGCCTGCCGCAGCTGCAGCAGCTCCGCCTCCGAGCGCGCCCGCCGCCGCCGCCGCACCGCCCCGCTCAGGCCCCGCAGCCGCGCCCCGGGGGACAGCGCGGCGGCGCAGGGGCAGGCCCGGCAGGCGGGCGGCGAGCGGGGTGAGAAGGGGAAGCCACCGCCCCCCGGCTCCGCGGGGGCCCCAGGCTGCTGCGCGCCCAGTGCGTGCGGGGCGGCCGGGCCCGCGGGCGGCAGCAGCAGGCGCGCGCCTTCGCGGTGGCAGCACTCGCGCAGCTGGCGGCTGAGGAGCTCGACCTCGGCCTGCTCGTCCGCCGGCAGCTCGTCGCAGTCCTCCAAGGGGTCCCTGGAGGACTGGTCGGTGAAGAAGTCCTCGTCGAAGTACGCGGCCGGGAAGGCGTCCAGGCCGCCGGGGAAGTGCTCAAGCAGCACCGCGTCCATGCTTGCCGCCGCCGCCGGGGCCGCCCGGGTCCTCGAGCGCGCCCTGGCCTCCCGCAGTGCCAGGAGGGAGGGAGGAAGGGAGGGAGCGCTGCACACTCTTGGCGGAGCCCGGCCCGGCACGCGAGGCGTCTTATACCGACAAGCACAGGCGCGTGCCAGGGCCCCGGCGCGCCAGCCAATCGGAGCGCGCGGCGCGCGGGGCGCCCCCTAACCCCGCGCCCGGAGGCGAGGCCCCTCCTGCGCCTGCCCGGTACCTGCTCTGCGCCGGCGGCACCTGCGGCCCGAGCGCCCCGCCTGCAGGCTGCACCCCGCTGCGGGGCGCCCTCGCCCGGCCCCGCGTCCTGAGCAGGGCAGCCGCGCGCCGCGCAGCAAGCAGGGGCCCTGGGCTGGGAGACCCGAGTCCCGGGGCGCTCTCTGCGTCTCCTCCGGGGTCCGCGCAGAAACTGCCGCAGCCTGGCAGTCCAAGGGCCCCCGCGGGGAGGGCCCGCTCGGGCTTTGCGGGGCGCACGCGGGGCTCGGGCTGGGCCGGGGCTGGGCCCTCTCTCCCTCCCGGACCTCCCAAGGACTCGGGCGACCCGGTCTCCTCCCAGGGGCCGGGGCGGGCGCAGCGGCCGGGAGAGGGGAGACAGGCGGGAGAGCAGCCCGGGGGCGCCTCTTCTTCAGCAAATCCAGCCCCGAGGCGTCCAGAGCAATACACTCCGCACAAAAGGCGCCTCCCGAGGGAAAGCGGGAAGTTAAAGGGCGGGGTGCAAACCTTCCTGAAGGGCCAGCAAGACCCGAAGGATTTTTCCCCTCGACCTTTTTTTTAAAAATACAAAACGCATGCGCTCTTCGCCGAGACATACTTCTTCGCAGACTGGGGTCCAATACGAGTTCCTCGGTTTAAGGCCAACAAAGACACTTTCAAGGTGGGGCAGTTCTGGTAAAATCCGACTCCAGTTTCCGACCGAGACTTGAAAAGGGAGCCAGGGAGCGTTCTCTCCGCCCAGGCCAGAGGATTCGCCTTCGGGGTCCCGGCTTCCTTTTTCAGATTCCGTTGTTTGTAGGTTATTCAGATTCTCTTTGAAATCCAAGTCCGCTGAGAACGGTGACTGAAACTGGATTTCCCTGAATTCTAAGACGGAAGATTGAAGGCCGAAAGCTACGAAGAAGAGCGGCATTGTCCGACCTCCTACTGTCAAGGCCCCCAGATCATTTGAACACGAAGGCCCACGATTTTCATCAAGTTCTTCCCGGGGTTTGTCCCTCAGCCACGCCTCCTCCTTCACAGTGCGGAGATCGTAGAGGACCGGAGGCGAATGTGGTCAAGTTCCGTGGGAGGCCCGTGGGGCTGTGATTTCCGGAAGTTAGATTTCCCCCTTTACCCCTTTTGGAAACCGCGGTGCCCATGGGGGATGTCAAGACCAGGGGTCTGGCCAGCTGCTTGGTGTGACGAGAGACCTCCCCTGCCCTGGCCTGGTTAGACTGAAACTAAATGGAGCCATCTGGGGACATGCAAGAGGGACAAATGCCCAGACTTGGAAACCTTACCCCAAATATGGAGAGCCGTTTACTGAAGGAAGACGGGCTGGGAAGCCTTCTCTCCTGTGTCTAGCTGGCTCCTGACAAAATACTGAAGACCAAGGAGTAAGTGTGTATGAGTAGCTTGTTTAATTCGAAGTGATGTTGACCGCTCCCGTAAAATTATCTGACCTACGTTTCATGAGTCTGGAGGAAAGTTCCAGAAATTTACCTTGGACGCTTAGGTGAGCTAAGGGGAAATCTGCTGCTGGTGAGAAACCTTACTGTCTCCTGCCTGAGGCTGGGCAGAGCTCACCTGGAAGTTCTGAGAATCACCTGGAGGCAGGTGGACATGGGGTTGGAAGGAAGAGAGGGAATCGCTGGCTGTCTGCAGAGTGGTCTTGTTGGGAAGTTAGGACAAGGTCTGTAGATACGCACGCACAGTAAGACATGATCATTCTAGTCCCTTATGAAAAGAAGAAAGACCCCTCTGTTAATAAAGGGAATTTTCCTGGGTCGCTGCAGGTCACAGCAGCATGGAGGGCCGCCCTCGGCCAGGTAAAGCAGCAGGTTGTATGAAGAGCAGACTGGACAGAACCTTGCCTTGCCAGGCTAGAGGCCCTGAGGCTCTTTGCAAGCCCCTTCCTCAATCCTGGACCCCGCAGGGCGGCCATCAGGGACAGCAGACACACAGGATGGAAAGATGGCAGGTAGTTGGGTCCTGACAGGGCTGGCCCCAGAGCTGCAAGCATCTCCACTCCCCGCTCAGCTCAGCTGGCCCTGGCTTCCCCTCTGCGCTCACCAGGGCACCCCTCACTTTCTAAAGAACCCCTGTCTTGTTAGAACTGTTGTCCCATCTCTCAAGGCGGGCAGCAGAAGGGGCCCTTGGCTGCCTAGTGCCAAATCCCGGCAAGACCTCAAGACTTTTCCAAGTCTTTCAGGGAGGGCATGTTGCCACCCCAGTGGGCATCACATCTCTTTCTCCTTTGGGCTGCTCACAGGCCTTCACCCGTCCCCCGGGTCCTGAGTTCAAGGAGAATTCCTGGCAAGAGCCATGGAGCCTGAACCTTGATTTCCCCTCACTCCTTTCCAGTTCTGGTCCTGAGAAAGTCTTCACTTGTTTGCTGTGAAACATTCCCAGTCATTTCCCATCTTCCAGGGGCACAATGGGAGGACTCTTCCCAGGATGATTTTGGGCAGAAACCCCTAATGAGGAACAGGGCCTCCAAGCTTTCAGCTCCCTGTCCTCATGGAAGATTCTTATAGCACCAACATGTGGCCCACACCCTCCCTGCTGGAACCCAATTTGCCCAGTGTCCCATGCGCCTCCTCAGTGGGTGAGACTCATGGTGATTTTCCAGCTAGAAATGGGTCCATATTAATCCCCTCAGCCCGGTGTCCCCTTGTCCACCCGGTCTCAGAGACAAGGGTTCGGACAGGAGGGTACCCTCACCACCGATGTGTCTCTGACCCTCGTTTCCAGCTGTGTCTCCACGCAGTTCAGTTGTCTTCTAAAGCAGCCTGGGGCACACCAGTCCCTGGGCCACCCCCTGGCCTCCGCCCTGCCGCCCCTGTGTGAGCTGAGGCGGTGCCTGACACTGAAGAGCTGTAGCAGCCAGGGAAGAAGGATCTCAGACACAAGTCCCACGGTGGTCTGGGGTCCAAGGACAGTCTGCAGCCCCAGAAGTCATGCTCTGCCCGGTGCATGGTGCACAGGTCTAATCCAGCTACTCAGGAGGCCGGGGCAGAGGGTGGGGAGTCGGAGCCCAACCTGGGCCACTTATTGGGGCCTTGTCTCAGAATGTAGACGTTTATGAAGCCTGAGGGGAGGCTCGGCGTGAAGGGCCCGGGTTCAGGACCAGACATGATGGGGTTGGGGACTGTAGACTAGGGAAGGATGCTGAACTCCTTTGAGGGCTCCGTGGATGGAACGTGGCCTCACACACGGTGCCAGGAGCTTCACCACAGGCAGGGCTACACTCACCGGCCCTTGGGGTCCTTAACCCAGCTTCAAGGCCTTCTGCTGCCTGTCCACTCCCACATCCCCGATCACCTTCTGCACTACCTTCCTCCTTCCTTAGTGCTCTGTTCACCTCCTCAGGCCTTCTGTCTCAGTCCTGCTCACCTGTCCACCAGCCTGTGAGCTCCCTGACTCAGTTTGAAGACCTTAAACTTACTCATTCCTAAATTACATGGAAGAAATAATACTAATGCTAGGACGGATGGAATTGAACACAGGGCCCCTGCAGGTGTGACTAGCACTCACCCTCATGGTCCTGCAAGCTTGTGTGCCCTTTTCATCCATGAGGCTCCACCCCATCCCAGGCTACAAGCCCAGACAAAGTCCCAAGTCTGCGCCAAGTTCGGCTGATGTGGTGCCCCATCTGCATTACGAACCTCCTTTCCACCCCCTTGTGTCTCCATCCTTAGGCAGTTGATTCCATAAGATTCGCAAATGAATTGCTCATCCGCTCCAAAGCAGCCCTTAGAGATAAATGGGGAAGGCATTTTCGTCATTTCCAAGTGGAAACAGATTCAGAATGGCCAGCCTGCCCCACGTGACATGCTGGCACTGTGGACTGGACAGGAAGTGAGTGGATGTCCACCCCCAGCACCATGGGGAAGGTCTCCTGTGAGACCCTCTGCACTCTGTGATCTCCCAGCCTCAAAATATAAAGCTGGGAGTGTCCCATTCAGGGCAAAGAAAGAGAGTGTACAGTGCCCTGAAACAGAGAGAGTCAGGGCTGCACATTAGCCTCCTTCCTCCTTGCCTTTGCGTTTCTTGTTGTTAAACATTAACTTTTAAAGGGAGGAACACCTAAATGCTGATATAATGACCCAAATAAGGGTTTCCTATCTCACCAGGGTTTATTTGATGACTAGCAAAGCTTTCAGCTTTGTCCTTCAGTCCTATTCCAAAAGGTGTTTGAACTTGAGTAATATAAACTTTACACGTCATGGAGGCCTCCATAGGGAGCAAGGGAAAGAAAAAAACATTAGCAGGAGGAGAAACTTTTTCTTCAGTTTGTTTCTTTTCAGAGCTGTATGTGTTTTCTCATTCCATGTCCATTGGTAGGGCCTTACGTGAATCATGGTACATTCATACAAAGGAATATCCAACAGCCATAAAAATAATGAGAATGCTTTGGATATACTGAAGTGAAATCATCTCAAAGTTACACAGTTAAGTGAAAGAAACAAGACTGTTTCCACTTGCATTTAAAGCAGAGGACAGAGAATATATATGATGTGTTTGTGTTCAGACCTCAATGGATACACAAGATACTAATGACCTTAATTGTATCAAGAAAGAAACTGGGTTATTAGTGGATAGAATCCTTCTTCTATACTCTCGTATCCTTTGGTTTTTGAAATATGTAAACATATTTGCAGAAAATTTAAAACTCTCAATCAACATTTTTTTACAGAACAATTTTGGAGTTCATGATCTCCCCATAGAAGACCTGAAGTCTGTAGCTTTCAGCATCTTCAAAACCTCGCAAGCACCCTTGGGTAGGCAGGCAGGGTGAGTCCCTCCTATAACTGAGTCCCACATAATGTGTGATGGGATGGCTTTGGATGAAATGTTATTCTTTGCATGAAATCAATAGTGAACAAAATTTA